GAGCGTGTTCCTGGAGACCCCCGTCTGGTGAAGTTAAGACAAGCAGGCCCAGATGAAAATGCGCCAAGTGGCCCGGCTCGCTGCTGGATGCCCTGCGCTCCGAGCTGCGCCGTTACTCGCGCTCCAGCTCATGGCCTGGGGCTGCAGGGGTGATCTCTGTGCGTGCGGTGACCCTCCGGCGGGAAGCCCCGTCCAGGGCCCGTGACCTGCAGAACAGGCGCCCGCGCTTTGAGTGTTGGTGTTGCTGAAACACTACAACTGCCCCGGAGCCTCCCCTGAAGCACGCGCGTTTTCTCCAGATCATGTCTTGCTGGCAGGCCGTGGCTTAACCCTGCCGTGCCTTGTTCATGTTTGGGGGTGCAAATTTGCTACCACAGTTTCACCCTTGCTCTGTTAAAGCCAGCATCTGGTGACCTGAGGAATATGTGACATTTCAGGTCTGGGACAGGTAGCCCAGAGCAGGATGGATGGAGAAGCAGGCAAAGATCTTTCAGATCTTATGATCCTAAAAAGCATTGAATTGCTGTAGGAGGGAGAAGGAGCAGGTTGCTTTTCCTTTCTTGTTCTCTCTACTTATAAAGAAAACATGTAGGCAGTAAGAATTAGAAGAAATACTTCAAGGCTGAAGGGAACTGTTGAAGAGGAGAAGCAGCAGCTAGTAAATGTACTCCCCAAAAAGTAAGTAACAAGAGAGGCAAGAGAAATGAAGACTGGATGGGAAGCAGCAAGTATGATTGCCCCATGTGAAAGTGATAAAGATTGCCACATTAGAAAGGGTAGGAGAAGCTAGAGAAAAAGGAACAACACGAGCACGTGTGTTTTAAAAATGTCCCAAGGGCGCTGCATTTTGGTGAGCCTCATGGTGGAGTTACTTTTGTACAGAGTTTTGAATAGCCCTGCTTCCTGAGATAGCTAGTGAGCAGCTGATACCCGTGGGGGACTGTGTAGGGCGCTAGAAGTGAGTTACAGTTATAATTACGTTATGATAAATCCTCAGAGAAGACTATTACATAACTGACTGTGGTTGTAGGTCTGCTGTGTGCATGACAGAGGAGAAGGCAAAATTGCTCAGTATTTCCATCTCAACGTCAACATCGGATAGTAATTCTCACTGTGACAGTGATTCTGTCCCCTTTCTGGTCTCTGGGCCTTAAGGTCCTTAAGGTAAACTGCACCTTTGGATGGATTGTGTTGCTAGCCGGGCCCTAGAACAGCGGGCCTTGCTGCAGCCTCCTCCGTGCACTAACTACTGTTTTCTTTCAGGGCAGAGCAGGCTGAAACTTCTCTTCCTCGGCCATTTAATGCAAGTTCTTAGAAATTCAATGCATAAATTACCTAAGGAGATATAGATCAATGATCGTTACTGAATGGTGCACATCCATCATCATTGTAAAAATCGTAGACTAGGAGGGATATTGTGAATGTCGAAGGCCCAGATTTACCATTCTTTGTACTGAAAGATGCACTGGGCTGGACAAAAGGGCCTGTCCCAGACCCCTCCTCGTGTCTTTGAAGATGACAAGAAGAGTGAAGAGTGCAGAATGGTTCTGATTTTAGTAGCGCTTCCCCAAAAGTAATAATGTCATTGCTGCGATCTGTGCCTTGTCTCCTGATGTCCATTTTGCATTGCTCTCTCATTCGTAAGGGTGCTTTGGCATCCACATCACTGCGGTGTCAGAAAGCCACGGTGGTAAATTGTAGTGCTCCAGAGAAGGGCCAGCGCATGTTATAGCAGACTGAGAATGAGCAGCCTCGAGACCTGATGGTCTTCAGCAAGCATCTTAGGGCAAGTTTTGCATTAGGATAATGGTAAGATGAAAATTACTTTTGAACTGCGTTACCGAACTGTAAAGAGATCTAAAATTCAGGCCGTAGAGTTTGCCCTTCCTGACCTACAATTTTTGATGTTGAAGAATAATATGTCTCAAAAATTGCACGCTTGTTTGGTAACTAGGGAGTTGCGGCAGAAAATGGGAGATGGCAAATATTGTTTTCATGGAAGTCAAAATACTCGTGACTTCCAAAACATATTAGATGCATCTTTTAACTTAAATGTTGTTTTTTCTAAGAGAAGTATTTAAAAGTGAAATCAGAAGGGAAGGATCTTTCAGTAGCCAAACTGAAAAAATATTGTTTTGAGAAAACAAAAATAGGCTTGAACACTCCCAGCCTCACTAAAAGATGTGGATCCTGTTTTTCTAAGTGGAGTTATTTTGTTGTTTTCCTCCATCTCACCCATTTCAGCTGCATCTTTAGGTTCCCAAATCTGCTTCGTGCTGCTTGCCTGTCTGCAGAGGCTTTCAGCAGTACCCCTGGAGATGTTTCATTTCTGTCACCTGCAGGGAGAACTGTTGTTGGAAGCATTTTCATTGCCAGAAGGCAAAAACTGGGTAGAAAAGCAATCAAGACTTGTAGCAGTAGTAGGGGTGTAGCAGGTGGAGGAACTAGACGTGCAATCTCAAAAGCAGGTTTACTTCTCATGCTTAAGCTATATGGCGATCGGAAAGTTGGAATATCGGTGCATGACTCCATATAAATGTTGCTTTGCATGGTTAGCTAGCGTCATCTTAGAACCTGAGCTGGGAATGGGGATAGTTCTTATATTATCTAGCAACTTGTTTAAATGGCCGCATAGAAGTGTGGTCCTAAGACCCTACAGCAGTGACTCTCACTGAAGTTTGGTGCAGTTACTTTAGGATCTTGTTTCCCAAGGCTAAAAGTTACGTACCAGCTTCACAAGAGATGGTTGAGGATTTTATTTTAAGTCCTCTTTGGTTACGGATTCTGACGTTCTGGTATATGGATCCTCAAAATGAAGAGTTTGAACTTTCCAGCAGCTGAGTTGAGACCCTTGTCTCCAGCAGCACCTGGGACAGTGCTGAGGTTGGCAGCAGTTTCTGATTTATTTTTGCAAGATAAATATTCATGCCAGTGGCATCTCAGGTTCTGGCAGGTGGGTGGTGATGTTTTCTACTGGAATCTTTAAATGAAGTCATGTAGGTTTAAATTTTGTAGTGGGACCTCACAAATACCTCGGCGTCAACAGGAGTGCTTCCTGGGAAGTGTTGCACAACACAAGTCAGATATTCAGTGAAAGATGCAGTCTGAAGTCATGCATTTGTCTGAATAGCTGACAACTAGGAACACTCTTTTAATGTTACAGCTTGGTTAGGTACCATGGAAAGGGAAGTTTCCTCCATATACCCCTTTCTTTTGCTGTTGTGAGCTGCCTAAGGGAGGTAAATAGGGGAGACACCAGAAACAAAGGCCAGAAAAAAGGTTTTTTTTTTTTTTTTTTTTTCAGATAAGGAGACAAATTCAGATGCCATGTAGACAGTGCTAATGGCAGCACAAGGAAGGGGACGGGGAATGTGTATGCAAGGGTGAAGGAAACGTCCCTTTTGGTAGCAGCCAGCCATTGCATTGGCTCAGCTGTAATGTCACATAAAAAGCCAGCCAAAAGAAAAACATCAAAAAAGTGAAAACTGCTGCTTGGAATAGGTTTTATGATGTGCTTAGAATCTTGTCATATATTGGTTGGGGGAAGTTTGGATTTTTTTTTTCTCTCAAAACTGAAACAAACTCTATGTCGATCTTTCCTCTTTTAAACAGGAAGCAACAAAATTCTTTATATGGCTCATGTCTGACAACATGCACCACCAGTGGCTGCTGCTAGCTGCATGCTTTTGGGTGATATTCATGTTCATGGTTGCTAGCAAGTTTATCACATTGACTTTTAAGGACCCAGATGGTAAGTTCATCTTTTAACTAAAATTTGATATGAAACAGAAGATTGAGTGATGTTTCACACAAATAAGTAGTCTTTCTGTGAAAAGTACTTCTCAGTATGCTACCACTTTTCTTCTGCAGGATTTGAGAACAGAACAACTGAATTATTACCAATGTGAAAGCACACGTATTTTCACAGTTTCTGCTTTTCTCGATGGAAGTCTGCAAAACTAACCGTGTGCCATCACGTCTTGCTCTCTGGTTGGTTGTGTGAGGTCTGATTTTTCAAATCCACTCCGTTTCAACCTAACAGGAAATCCATGTGCAGGACAACACAGCAGAATTCCCTTTCCCAAGACAAGCGAGATGCACAAGGAACAAAATAGTCTGTTCCACATTGTATTTGCTTCTGTCCTCTGTGACTGCTTCTGCTGTGGCTGCAGTGTGAGCCTCGTGGAGCGCTTGGTTTCATTTGCAGTGCACTTAATGTAGCCCCCTCTGCCTTGCTTCTTGCATTCGGTTTTATCCTCTGCTGTTTGAATGGCAAAGGGCTTATAGGCTTTTGCTTAGCCTAAGTAAGTAGCCCAGATGGTATTAGGGCTTATAGGCTTTTGCTTAGCCTAAGTAGCCCAGATGGTATTAGACTGATAAGGAATTAAAGGCATTTGATGATACCACACAGCGCGTTACAGTTTTCTTTCTACTGATGAGCTGCCGTTGAAAAGCAACCCTGCAGAGAGTTTATGGTGAAGGTGGCAACACGACTTAGTCTTATGAGAGATCTGAATTTCTGCATCTTTCTAAGAAATGCAAAAATGTGCAAGTCTTGAAGAGCCAAAATCATAAGTGTTTCAGTGATGTGACAGTGGATAAATATATTAAGTGTCTATTTTTAAATAGCATACCTCTGTGTGAAGACTTATTCACCATGTCTTACAGATGAGAATTATAGGCTAACTTGGTAGTTTTTCTCAGTCTCAGCTGTTTTTAAGTCCTTGTACATCTGCAGATGGGCCAGTTTTATATTAGGTCCTTAAATGTTCTGATACTTGATACTATGCCAGCTCTTGTTTCGAAGCACAAGTATTCTCTGAGTGGTTATTTACACCAGAAATTGTCAGGGGAATTCAAATGCAATCAAAAAAGTCTTTTGCTAAAGTATACCCTCTGCATTTACTTGCTTGTGATTGCCTTGGCTTTCCCTTTGAATAGTTGCTTGAGCAGAAGACTGCATAATTCCTAACCTCCATCCCTGTGAAAACATGGCAGTGGTTAAGTGTATGTATGTGTTGGAGATGCCAGTGTTTGTATCAGGACTCATGAAGGGAAGTGTCATGAAAGCACTAGCAGAATTTTGGAGACAGTACAAAGAGCATGGCCAGTTCTGGAGGAACTCCTGTAGACTTCACAAAATATGGCTTGTAAAGAGTTTTCCTTATGTGAATGCATCTACCGAACAACTAGAACAAAGCTTGCAGATGCTCAGTGAATCAGTGTGGCTTCTGGTTTTATTAACCTTTTAGTGATGTCTTTGGTGCATGGACACCTTGCTGAGAAAGAACAATCTCTGTCATCTCTGCTAGCATCTGTGTGCATGTTGCTATCCTATGATAATGAAAGATGGTTTAACTGCTTTTTCACTGAGCCTTGTGCCTTTATTTTTTTACTACAGGATGCTGTGAGGCAAGGGTGTGCACAGCTATATTTACCGCAGCCCATTGCTTGGATGCTGACACTGCTCTTGGTTCTAGCTTGTTTTTCTCTTGTGTGCTTTGTTAAAAGGCAATTTAGAAACAATACAGTACTTGCTTAAGAAAGGGACACAGTGCACACTGTTTCCTGAGCACAAAGCAGTAAGCTGCTGTGGAGGCAGATGAAGAATGGTTATTCATAAAGAACAAGCTACGTGAAGGGAAAATAGTCCCATATGCATGGAAATAATTTTTGTGAGAAAGATCATGTTCTTTTTGCTGTGCGGCTAGGGAGAGCTGCTTCACATCCCTTTAGGTCTCTCTGCACTATGTAGAGAACAGCTGCAGCCCTGTGCTCTTTTTTCAGTTTCCCTGTATATGGCAGTTGATAAAGATGCAAAAGCTTCTTCCATTATGTGATTTAATTTGTTCACAAACTATTAGCTGCGTAAAAATCATTAAAGAAGAACTGAATTATCAGTTGAATCATTTTTCACCTTTGGGAGTCTTTAAGGAAGTCTCTGAGTCTGGTAGTATGTAATGAGTTTTGTATTCTTTAGTGCTGGTTAGATGTGTTAATTTCAGCACCAAAGAAAGAAAAAGTTCCTCTCAGTGAAGGTTTTGTTTCAGTAATGTCTGTGAATGTGCAGTAGGAAAAGCCTGCCTACTAACACAGGTGAAAAAACCAGACTTTTTTTAAGGGTAACATAGAACAGATTTGAAAAATCTACCATTAAGTCCATGTAGTTATGTTCATTTGTCTAACAAACAAGATTTAAGTATCATATGCTAGAGCTTTGATCACATGTGAAATGAATTAGTTCTTTTTCTTGCTATTTGGATTTATGTTTCCTGTGACTCTTTATACACAGTTTGTTCATAAAAATCCAAGGTAAAAGATCATGTCTATCCATCACATAGCTCAGCTGAAGTTGTATCTAAAATTCCTGTAGAGCACATCCTTTAAAACATTCATCATCTGTCTCCAGTCTTGTTAGGCACCTTCTCACTTCGGAGCAAATCCTGATGTTTGATACAGAAAGTGATGTTTGAGTGGACTCAGTGTAAAGCAGAAACAGTTGTCTGCCTGCAACCACCCTGTGTATCTTATCTCTTTTCCTTCCTTAGGCTATGGTGCCAAGCAAGAGCCATTAATACTGACAGCTGTGACAAAAGTGGAGGAGGTACGTGGGCCAGAGGAAAAACACTGGCCTGAAGATTTTCAGGTATGTACCCTTGAGATGAGGGTTATGTGTGTTAAAGAGTAGGAAGAAATAAAGATTAACTACAAACTTTCTTTCTTTCAAAGGAATTGCTAGATAGAAATTATTTGTTCAAACTGTTTTACTGAGATAGAATGTAATTCATTTTAGCTCCACAAAGCTAGCTGGTTACAATAAGCTGCTATCTTGTTTCATCAGAATGATTTAATTTAAAAATGTGTTTTCATTTCTAGGAGAAAATAGTTATGGTGTTCCTTTACAAGTCAGGACAATCATTTTTGCCAGCCTATTTTATATAATGACCCAATTTCGAGTTACTTGTGTTCTGCCTTGCCACAGCCATCGGGTTCCTCCTCCCGGAGAGCACGGCTCTGTCTTGTTTCATGTCTTAGTTCCTTTTGGTCCCCTGCCCAGTCTCTCTGCTTTGATTCGCTTTATCAGTCTCCATCTCTTTTTCCTGTATTTTGCTCTTTGTGCTTCACATCTCAGCATTTGTCCAAAGTAGAACACGAACACAATAGCTTTCGATACAAGTTGATCCTTCAGATGCGCAGTTCTGTGCTTTCAGATGTAAAGCAGAACAAATGTGATGTTCCCTAATTTACAGGGAGACTCCACAGATTACTCATACAAATGTGCACTTGAGATTCTGAGGCCCACCTTTTTCAAATTGGCTAAATAAGTCATCTTGTATTTGGAGTGTGCTTAGGATGCAGCATAGAGGATGGGTTTCTGCATAAATGTGGCACTTGCTGTTTTCTTAGTTAAAACAATGAAACTCAAGGCATCCTCAAAATACTTGAAAGATTTTGTTTTATGGAAGGATGGCAGATTTATGTAGTGAGTTTTAATATCTTCCATTACATTTATAGAAACGATTAATGTGATACCTGAATCCCAAACTGTTCCCTCTGGTAGCTTGAAACACAAAGTAGAATTAATCCTAATTACATGCAGAGTATCATTTTAACTGATAGGAGTCTGTTAGCAGTTCAAATTAAATCCTTACCATGGAAGATCAGAGAGGAATGGCAACAGAAAATGAGGATCAGATTTTTCTTAAGAAAAATTGTGATGAGAAGTAAAGTCATCCTTCTTTTCATATGTACCTTGGGCGTTGTACCTAAAGCAGTGTTTGTATGAAGGTATGGAAGGCAGCACCCAGGTTTATAGATTCAGTCAAATGCTTCTTAACTTCACCCGTACAACCATGATGTCCACACAGTTCAGAATAACTGCCTAGTTATTTGAGAGAATAAGACGGAAAAATGTCTTTCACTTTACAATACCTCTTTCTAACATTGCCCTTGCTGAATAGGGAGGTCACAATAATTTAAGAAATTGAAGAACAAGTTAAACTACAGTTTGGCCCTGTAATATGCTGCTCATATGTATACCAGAGCTGTAGGTGAATTTTCCACATATACTGAGTTTTGGCCCACTTCTAAATCCCCTCCTCCTCAGCTGGCAAACTAGGTCAAAGCAAAAATAGACTCCCCCCACCCCCTTCCTTCTCCTGTTGGAAGCTCCAGGAAGGCCAGAAAACCCTAGATTTTTGCTGAGTTCATGAACTCCTCTAGTATTCTAAAACTTTGAAAGAAGGCAATGTACAAAATGAAAAAAAATAAGTTGCTAACAAACTACAATGTTTACCTTCTATTTTAATGGCTTCTCAGAGTAAACTTCAGCTCATTTCACATACCTAGTGAAGATAAGACAGCCGTGCTTAAAGATAGCTTGGTACAACTGCCAGGCTTCAGAAAAAAGTATCAGTTGCTTCATTTGTTTGTCTGTGATCCAAGTAGGGCTGTTTAAAAGCAGGCAAACAAACAGAAATCTTATACTATCAACAGTTTACTTTTAATGACCATATTAGCTCTTTACTTTTGCAGACTCAGCTGCGTAAATCAGTAAGGGGAAGGGGGAAGATTTTTTCAGTTGGAAGTTAAAATTCCCCATCCCTGTGACTCTAGGAATGGTACTAGGTAATGACTTAGAGTCACGCCGGCATCTACAGGAGCCCAGGAAACAAACTGTGATACTCTTAGTTGATATCTAGCAGTATTTTTATTGGGAATTGGGAAGATGTAATATGCACACTATTAGGATGCATAGGTTTGGGTATTTTTATACTCGAGAATTTGATCTGAAAACTAAACTCTTGCACTTTTTTTTTTCTTCCCTCATTTTTATAAAGTCAACTGGAAAAGCTTTTTCTGGAAATCTGATACGCCAACACCTGGTTCATATGGAAAGACTTGAGCTTCTCAGGAATGTCTGCAGAGACACTGCATTGAGAAATCTCTCTCACACTGCTGTTTCCAAGTTCGTCCTGGATCGAATATTTGTGTGTGACAAGCACAAGATCCTGTTCTGTCAGACACCAAAAGTGGGCAACACTCAGTGGAAAAAAGTCTTGATTGTTTTAAATGGTACCTACTCTGATGCGGACGTGCGGGTTCATTTGAGGAGGAGGACGGAGCAGAATCGGCCCAACAGGCCTGACAGGGCCATACTAAAATGGATTTTTTCAGCTTTTCTGCACTGATATTTAATATCAGCTGGTCATTCTTCATGGTTGCTTCTAGTGCTTCTAAAATCTTTCTTTTAAAGAGGTTAAACCTGTTCTTTCTGTGAACATAGATATTGTTATTGTTTGACTAAAAGGTGATTTGAGTCATGAAAGAGTACTTTCCTTCAAGGGAAGTCACTTATTTAAAGAATTTGTAGTAGCCTGTTTTTTTCATGATTTCCTGCTATACCACTGCATGCACACTATTAACTTGACCATATTTGATATAACACACCTTTGACATAAAGGACGGTGAATTTTCTACACGTAGGCAGATCAGTTGGAGACCGTTATGTGCTTTTGCAGATGACATAGCTTCACCACGGTGTGGGCAAACCCCAAACTTTCTAACAAGGAAGATGGGACTTTGAAAGTCCCAAGAACTGCCAGGCTGCCAGCTCTGCCCTTGTGTTTCCATGTGTTGCTTTACCTTGTGTGAGCTAGTTCACATGCCCAGGGGAAACAGTCACAAATTGACAGAGGAGCTGTATCTCCCAAGAAAACTTGTTTGGAAAAGGCTATATCTTAAATACTTGGTTATTAGTTTCATCGTTGTTATATGGATGAGAGTTATGTGGGCTACATACTGTAGTTCTGGCAACCCTTAAGCTTTTTATTAAAGCTTTTCTTACCTGCACCCCTGTCATGCTCAGAATACTGGAAGAGAGAAAAACCAGAGAGTTTTTCTCCTAGACAGCTGTTTTGTTTCGCCCAGCCCTTGCAGGTTGGTGCTCTGAAGTGAGGCTGTTGGTGTGGCAGCTTTGGGCTCCTGCAGTCCAAAGGGTCTGCATGAGAGTATTCCCCCCAGGTCATTACAACTTCCAGGATCAGGGTCTTAAAATAAATGTATTAGAGTTTAGTGACGTTTTTCTTGCCAGCTTATGTGCTTGAAAAATAAGTTTCTGGAGGATTTCTCTCTTTAATTTTAGTGCTTTTTAATATATGTAATATTGTGTGACTGGGATTTTGTTTTCAGCACAATTGAGCTCTTGAAAGAACTTCATGGATCCTGACAGCAAAGTGCTTTTCTGTTGAAACGGTTCCAAAAGCAGCCTACAGTATTTATTTTTTGTTGCTTGTGGAAACTCGGCCGCAGAGGCTGATCCTGTCTTTGGAGTTAATCCTCAAAGTCTTCCTCTCTTTGAATGTGTGGGCAGGATGAAAGAGAACAGGGATAGAGAGGTAGGGAGTTACAGACTTAGACGTAATTGCTGCTAAAACTTATGTAATGTGCATTTCTAAGAGATTTGAAGTGATTTGGTCTTGGACCTTGATGTCACATATGCTGAAGAGTTTTAACAACTCTTAGTGTTACAGTCAGGCTCTCTTATCATTTAACAGCTTTAAACATAGTAACCATAAGTACTAAAAATAGAGAAAAGAGAAAAATAAAAAGCCGTGAGCCAAAGGCACACACGTTCTGGCTTGTGCTGGCTTTGTCTTCCCCCCCACCCTTGGAAGATTGACCTGCTCCTCCTGTGATTTGTCTAGGGGCGTATTCTTCCATAGAGGAGATCCCGGAACACATTGTACACGACCACGAGAAGAACGGCCTTCCGCGCTTGTCCTCCTTCACGGACGCCGAAATTAAGGAACGGTGAGAAGTGACTTCCCACGAGGGTGGGTGGCGTTCGGCGGTGGGGTGGGGGAGCAGGCAGGAGCGCAGCTGCAGTCCACGTCTGGAGTAGGGTGCAGGTTTCTGTGTCACCACTCACTGGTGTAACATAGCGCAGCGTAACTCCCTTATCCACCCACATGCACTTGTGACAGTCCCCCTCCTGGCTTCGAAGATGAGCACGAGGGTAGCTGGTGAAATAGTCAGATGATCCCACAGCTCCATCTTGGTAGGGGGTTTCTGTAGTTCAGTGGATAGCTACTTGTGGTCCATCCAGATCCCTTGTAGAGTAAAACTTCCCACCTACATGTAAGATTGGCATTGCAGGTAGATTTTCTTACCGTGCTTGAGCCATATAACTTTACGAGCCCCCCGCCTCCTTAGCCAGAAACTATTCTCCATGCAGCTGACTTTGTCTTTCTGTTGGAGCGCTTGCCATCCTTTTCAGAGCAAGACGCTTATTTTTTCTTTGGTGCCTGCTAAATTACCCTGGCTAAGCTGTCCCTGCACTTGTTCTTATCTCTGCTAGCGCCTTTTCTACATATAATCCTTGTGGGGGTTGCAGCATGGAGAGAACGGGAAGCAAGATGACAGTGGACACCTATAAACTTTTATGGTCTTCTTGTATATTAAACCATTCTGAAGAGTTAGTCCCTTATACAGGAGGTGGCAGCTCTCACTTGAGCCCAGTCCAGTGTTTCTTGGGTTCAGTGCTGCACACGCAGCAAATACTACCATGGTGAAACATCTCCATGTTCATGAGAAAGTGGATTCATCTCCCTGTGAACAGCCCTGCATGGAGAAGAACCATTCACCTAGGGGTTGAGCAGTAGCTCAGTCATGAAGTCATGACATTGTGTGGGGTATTACAGTGAGCCCGCTAGAGAAATAGTACTGGAGATAAGTAACGTAGGTTCTGTTGGGAATCACGAAAATAAATTTTTGTAGCATTTATGAGTAGCGAGAGGGATCGTTTGGGTCTGCAGTTCTAGTGTGCTCGCCTCCTGCCTGGTTAGGCATAAGCTAGGAGAACTTGAAGACTGATCAATTGCCTACTGGGGCTGGAAAAAGTCCATCTGCTTCCTTTAGTGAGGATTGGGCTCTAAATCTCTCGTCTGCTGTTTACCTGACTGCTTTCAGCTAACTCCTCCTGCAGATAATCAGACACATGGTCTACAACATGTAACAGATGTCATGACAAAATACAAAATTCTGTTGAAGACTGTTGGGTCTCATTAATATAATATTCTCTGCCATTACTGAAAACATGCCAAAACCTCATATAAAATAACAGAAAACCAGATTAAAAAAAAAAAAAACAGTAGTTTGTCTAATTTGCCTGTTGCTTCTTATTTTGAGTGCAATCCCATGAAAGTAAAAATACCTAAAATTCAGAGCTATCAACATCCTATAGGACTTGGTCCTCTGTTTAGATGATCCAGGATAATCCTAGCTTCTCCTTTTGCATGAAGTGTGGCAAACAGCAAGTACAATTTACAGTTTCTATTGTATATATGTCTTTTTACTAAACAGTTTATGTATTTTGAGTCTTTTGGACTACAATGTTAATAGACTATAAAGTGACACATCTAAGATTCATACTGCTGTCTCTGCAATCAGAATTTACATATATTTTGCAAGTCTTTGGTATGCACTTCTGGTATCTTCTTAATTAATTAATTTCTTATTCCTTCCTTCCCTCCTCTGTTTAGACTGAATTTATACTTCAAGTTTTTTATTGTTAGAGATCCGTTTGAAAGACTTATTTCTGCATTTAAGGACAAGTTTGTGCACAATCCTCGATTTGAGCCTTGGTACCGGCATGAAATTGCTCCTGGCATCATTCGTAAATACAGAAAGAACCGCACAGAGACCCGAGGGCTGCAGTTCGAGGACTTTGTGCGCTATCTGGGTGACCCGAATCACCGGTGGCTGGATGTTCAGTTTGGCGATCACATCATCCACTGGGTCACGTACGTGGAGCTGTGTGCCCCCTGCGAAATCACATACAGCGTGATTGGGCACCACGAAACCCTCGAGGAGGACGCTCCGTATATCTTGAAAGCAGCCGGCATAGACCACCTGGTGTCGTACCCCACGATTCCGCCCGGGATAACGGTGTACAACAAAACAAAAGTGGAGCGGTATTTTTCAGGAATTAGCAAGAGAGACATAAGACGCCTCTACGCTCGGTTTGAAGGTGATTTTAAACTCTTTGGCTATCGGGAGCCCGATTTCTTGTTAAACTGATGCCTAGAATAAGCTCTGGAGACGTATCCGATGGATTAAACTAAACCCACATGAATACCAGCTGCAACACTGACAGAGCTAAGAACGACCATTTGTTTTCTAGCTTTTTGATGTTGCTCCATCTTCCAGTGATATTTGTCGTATGAACAATTAGGGGCTTATAGTTGTTGTTTACTGATCATATTTTCAATGTGTGGCATTGAAATCTGTTAAGAGTGAAATATGTTATCTAAAATACAGAATTCTACTTATTCTCTCTTCCCTCCAGAAAATCGAAAACAACAACAAAAAAAGCATTTATAGATGGCAGTTTCACTGTAGGTTAACTCTGAGATTTGGGTGAATTTACGATTCATGCTCTTGGGAAAGCCACGTAGAGTTGCCCATGAGCTATGAAAATTAGAAGGAAATGCAGGACTAAAAAAGATTAAATGCTTGACAAAATCAACCAGTTTCTGTCATGTGGCTGCTCTAAAAACAGTAATGATAATCTAATCCCATTTTTTGTTTGTCAGAAACTGAATCTAATTAGACAGAAACTTTGGCAATGTCCAAAAAAGGGGGCTGGTTCCAGAGCCCAGCTGTCGCTGTGTTCCTGTCAAGTGTTTACTCAACTTCTGGCCTGTTTTGAAGAATACTATTTAACTTATGGCTATAGAAGTTATCTGAGAACATCAGATACAAATGGAGCGCATAAGAAATATAAAGCTTCTAGGGCTTCCTTTTATTAAGGAATGTTAGTTTAAAAACAAAAAAAATGTGAGATGGAACACATCACAAGATGCTCTCTGAATATCAAGCATTTTAACTTGTTTTATCTTCTAACAGTTAAACAAGCCACAAAAGCAGGAAGAGAGCTGCTGGAGTTAAATTGGGTAAATGCTCCACCTTTTTCTTATCATGCCTTGCTCAATATTTAGTACCTTAGAGAAGAGAAACCTTCTCCCCCTCTGAAGATGCATCTCCCTGCTGCTGAAGGGGGCAGGGTGAATCCTTGACTTTTCCAGTGTTTTGCTGCTATGGTGTCCTGAGTCAAAAATGCCCAGCGTCCTTGTTACCAGTGGGTGAGTTGGCAGCTTGCCAGGAGTTTGAATGTCACTTAAATTTATGTATACACTTTGTGCATTAAAAAACAAAAACAACAAAAAAGCAGAACTGAATGGATGCAACCATAACATTTGCTTGTGTTTGCATTCTTCCTCTCTGCTAAAAAAGTCTTTTGTCTGAGTTCACCAGCAATAAAAATCAGCGTGCTGTCCTGCAGCTCATGGGAAGGAGAGACTGTGTCTGCGTCAGGGGAATTGGTTCATCATAGTGAGGCATTTGAGCCGTGTTTCTGAAGTCTTAGTCCTAAAGGATTAATCTTCAGCATAACGTTGCTGGCTAGAAATGCTAATGATGGTCAACGCAACGGAGCCTGCTCTTAAAGGCAGCCACAGTCTGGTTTTGATAGCTTCCTGTATCAACAGAAGGCAGCATCTTGCAGTCAAGAAAAAGGAAAGCTGTGCCAAACTGACATGTGCTGCTATCTGCAAAAAGGAAGCCCTGTTGCAGTTGGATGTAATTTCAGAAAGATCTCAACAGTCCAATTGAAATAAGGGGGAATCATTAACGGGGCGTTGTTAGCAAGAGAATCGCCCAAGGTGGCAAAGCTGGAAGAGTCGTCTGGGTTTTGTTGTTTGTTGGCTTCTGAGAAAATAAATGGCACTTACAGTGCCCTCGCCTTGTTAGTTCTTAACTTATGAGAAAAAGTTGTTAACAGCTCCAAGTTTTTTGTGTGTTCTGTTTTTTTGTTTGTTTGTTTATTTGTTTGGTTTCTTTTTGTTTTTAATACGGCAACTTAGCAAAATGTATTATTAAACACATTTTGGAGCTAATGAGCTGATTGATTACCTCTCTGCCAATTTCAAATGTAACAGTGTGAATAATGTATAGTGAATTCAGGCCTTAAAGTTTAAATCTAATAAAGTAGAATCATTTTTCTCTGAAAGCATAAGCTACTGATCACACAGCACACAAAGATATCTGTTTTTATTTTTCTTTGTAAACTATGTAATGCCTTGATTGCTTAAAAATTGCAGATGGAAAGTTGTGTAGAGGCTTTAAGTAACAATGTTCTTCCTAATAGCCTTCTCTGAGTTGAGTTCCCTTCAAATTTTGATGGCAAATGTGGATGCATTTACACACTGATGCAGACAACTCCAGCACACCATGTCCCGTGCTCTCCTTTCCCCCCTGTGATTTTCTGCAGGCTGGAGCTGGAATATTCAGTGCCTTTTTCTTCCATTCATATATGAAGTTCCTCCTTAAAATTCTTACTCCTGAGCTATATTTTCTTTCTGGAAGTGTTCTTTTGCTCTTGTGGCTCAGGGAATTACAGAGCAGTTTTGGCATGACTTGCAGAAACTTGGATAAAATTAAAGTAAGTCCCTAAATGGGTATGGTGAAATCCTTCTCGTGTAGGTTCGCTGCAGCACAGAGTGACCAGCGCATTCCGTGTCCTAGACAGGGCTCTCGTTGGGATAGTCACGCTCAATTAAACTATTGTGCTCTGTTTTAAATTAATTGTAGTCTGTGCAAGGCATTTACAAATCGAACCCCAGTGGCGTGCATGGACGGCGTCTGGATGTCGTTTCCGTACGGCTTCGTAGCTGCAGGGGTACCTACGTCAAATGCAGGTGGTATGTATGTATTTTGGGAACTACTCATCCAGATTATTACCTCTCTTTTTTATTATTGTTACAGCTTCCGAAGACAAACCTACATGATTACTTTATGTCTGTGCATTTCCTTTTGTTGTCTTTCCTCAGTAGTTTTGGAATCCTTTGGGCAATATTAACCCCGTTTTACAGGGGAAGGTTGAGTTCTTAAAGACACTGAGTTGTAATAACCTTTCTGAAAAATGACAGCTAGCTAGAGCAGAGAAGTACTCTTTATACATCAGAGAATCCACCCTGCATGTTCATGTTAGGAAAAGTGCAGACAAGGACTGAGCTTCACTGATTTTGCCAGTCACTGAACCGTTTTTTTCTCGCACACTCTTGCCTAGTGCTCAGAGGCTGCACTCTCACCTCAACTAATCACAGCAAAAATAATGGATTAGCATGGGTTTGTGTGGGCCTGTCATCTGCCTTGTATAAAATTAAGAATCACTTGAGATCAATTTTGCTTTGTTTTTTGATGTGCATGTCCCTCTTTCTTGCAGTAGAAGTAGACCCAAAATCTACGTGCCCGTGAGCCAACTTTAAGGGCAGTGTCTGTCCCCTTCTCTTTTAACTCCAGCACACAGCCAGTTATCACTGGTGATGTCTCTCTGATCACAAGCCATGAAGATGCTTCTCCTTGGTGAGAATTTAGCTATGAGTTGTCATCTGGGGAACTCTTCTTTAAAAGAAGTTATCTGCTCCAGAGCATGCAGAAAATACGCATGTTTTTGCAGACACCCTGTTGTCATCTCTTGCTGTTGCAGCTCAGATGCTGCCGTGGGTAAGAGCCCCCTGCTGTCCCCGCTTGTCCCTGCAGTGGTATCAGCCGAGCCACCAGGCAGCTCTGGCTTTCGTGCAACATCGTGGCCGTTTTCTCCTTCAGGTGCTAAAACATTTATTTGCAGACAAAGCCAGCTCTGATCTTATCTGCGTGTGAGCAAGCTGACAGAGAAAAGAGTGATTATACAGGCATAGCTTAAGCTCTTCTCTCAGATGAAAAAGGATTTCCTGTCAGTATTTCAGCCTGTATCTGATACCCTTTAATTGCAAGGGAGAGCAATACTTCAGCTTAATGGCCTTGCTGTGCCTTGCGCTAGGGCCCAGTCCGATTATTCTGCTAAGTAAGGGGACTGTAAAATTCAGCATGTGCTTGTTTTAAATTTAAGAGTGTAAGGACTCTTGACATAGGAATTGAACCTCGAATATTTACTGTGGCCAACTCCTTGTTGCACAGGGTGTGCAGAGGCTGGTAGGCTGAGAGGCTTGAGAACATCTGCAAAGCAAAAAGTGGTTTGTGACTCTTGTGTGGAAATTTGCCGTTTTGCCCAGGTTAACGGTGCATGTTGTTGGGCTGCTGCTGGGTGGATGATTTCGGAGTTAAATTACCTATTTGTAGCAAAAGCAATGAATGCCAAATGCCTCCCTCACAGAGGAGGAGGGAGCTCATCTCTCTCAGATGTGTTCAGCTGACTTCGGCACGGCTGGGTATAAATCTTTATTTTTTGTGCTTTTTAATGCAGTTGTGTGCAACTGAGCTGTTGTATTGTTTTCCTGTGGGTGGCAATAGCCTGAGGTGCCTCATCTCCTTGTCACCAGAGCAGCCTTGAGAGACCTGCGCCCGTTTTGCCGTGCGGTGGAAGCAAGTGGTATTAGGCCTGCGGTCATGCAGCTGCTACCAGCAGAAACGGTGCTGTTTAGGGCTAACTGCTGTGAAATCATCGTTTTCCCTCTCCATCCCAGCAGGAGAAAAGGGAGAAGAGCTGTATGGTTGCCCTGGGTTGTGAAAAGGAACAGCACTGATTATAGAAATTCTGGAGTGTTAACCTGGAGTCATGTCTGAGAGAAGAGCGTGGAAAAAAAGGAGCGGGCAGTTGCCTTAAAGCCCCCCAGAGATGATGAATGCAAGTTGCTGATGCGTTACTGGAAGTGTTAGAGCAGCAAATGTTCTTCCCCGTATCATGTGCCTGCACACCAGAGAAGCAGCTGCCAGTAAGACAAAATGCACACACCAGACTGAAAACATGAAGCATCTGCTGTATATGACTGTTTGAAATCATTCAAAAAAAAAAAAGGGGGAAAAAAAAAGGAAAAAGGAAAGCGCTTCCACTGCAAAGGAGTGAATTAAACATAGCCACAGAGCTTGCATACCTGGAAAAGCAGTGTCTAGCTAACAGCCAGAAGGTGGCCAACTGCCCTGGAAGGGGACAAACATTTCTGAGCCGCTTCTGGGATGAAAGAGAATCTGCAACTAGGAGGGTAAACATGGGCCACAGGGCAGCTGCACACTCTCTGAAAAGCTATTTAACACTGAGAACCCAGCCAAGGCTACTAATCATGCCTATGCACATGGATCTCCTCTGGGAAAAATGTATAGCTGTGCTGGAAGCATGCAAGAAGAAGGAAAAGCTTTTGTGAAATGCCTAGCGGCTTGAATAACTACGAGTTATACCCACTGTGATTTTAGAAGTAGCATTCATAATAGATCTTTATTTCTCTGGTCTAAAGCCTTCCTTTTTTTATTCAGCTCTCTTTTCCTTGTCCTGTGAGATCTCTGGACAGTATA